TATAAGTTTTTTTTGTTGTTTTTTTTTTTTTTTGGTAAAAAATGAAACATATTGCATAATCTGGTTTGCATGCAAATGTAAGAGTTTCAATATATTTATGTACGGCAATAGAGAAATGTAACTGTAGTTTCAGTTTTTTATGACCCCGCTTTTCTAAATCGCAAATAGACTTAAACAGATAAGTGATCCCATACTGTACTTTTATTTCAAATTTGAAAAACAATGTCTTGTACATAACACAGTAATTTGTCATTTTATTATACTCAAGAGGAATTAAAACTTTTTATAAGGGTCGTAAAATTGTGAGATAATGCATCTTTAGTTCAATAATGCACCAATCCTTATCACATAAAAAATAAACAAGCTGTTGAAATTGTGAAAAGGTTGTTTTTAGCTGTCTTTGAACGGGTCTCACTGGAAATATCAGCAGACATAATCAAATATTGAGACAACAAATACAAATTTTAAATAATGATCATATAAAATAACAACATATTTCAACACATTTAAAGTGTATAAAGCTATAAATCTGCTTTAAATAGTTATACTAATTTTGAAAAAGAATATTTCCAACCAAAATATGAAATTAGAAAAAAGATGTGTATATATCCCTTTTAGGGAATAAAGCATGCATAAAATTATCATTAAACATTCAAACTATACTAGAATTGTATCATAACATTTTATTTGTTTACATACAATATTCTCGTGTGATACAAAACAGATTAGCATTTTATTTTACAACTCTTTGTAGAATCTAACGATATTATTATCGAAACAAATTAATTGAACTGTTTTTAAGACTGAAACACCACAAGACAAGGTATAGCTTTATACCTACATGTCCACTAAATCTTGGTTTGAAATTCTTTTCCTTATTTAACATATTGACACCAAATGTATTGTCATATAAGCAGTAATTTGTAAGGCTACGGCAATACGAAAGAGAACCTAAATTTTTACTGGTATAATAATATTTCAGGGAATCAGAATAAGGTAATTCCAACTTTGTCAAGATTTGTACTTACAACAACTTACAAAAAAGAGAACTGAAAGAGAAAAGGTGTTTAAATATTGATATAAAACGAAATCAAAATTTGACAGAAATTTTAAAGCCGTATCAAATGAAAAAGCACCACACATAAGTTGTTTTATTGTTTGGAACTATATTTTTACAACCTTTTTTTGTTGTTTTCTAACAGCTACACAGAGCACCTTTAACAGAAAATTTATAATATAATTTATAATTTATTTTTTATAATACGTCTCCAGTAAATTAGTTTAATAATCCCGTCCAATTTTACGAACAGAAGCCATTTCATTTTTTTATTCAACAGAATTGTTGTTTTGATAACATTTATTGGATCATTTGCCGTTTATTATGTACACAATGTTAGCACAAGAACAATTTTATATACTGTACACTTACTATATAATATTTCAGAGATACCGCGTATTATTTTTTTCTCCAAAAGTTGACCAAGCTTATCTGTTAAAAATCATTTTTATGAGATACATTTTATATAAGATTTTGAAATTTTATTAAGATGTAAAATGTCAATTGTGCACTGCTACATTTCATGTGCATGAGCCTAACAGACATTATCCTAAAATGTCTGGAAATGCTATTCCAAATTGTCAATTTTTAACAATAAAAATAACACATATAATATAATGCTGGTTGCAATATGCAACACCTTTATTTTAACCAGACAATTCGGCTTCAATATGTGCAATAAATGTCCGAGCAACAATGATAAATTTGTTTCTATGACACTAGCACATACTCAACTTGATCATTTACGTCGGCAAATACAATACTGAATCACAAATATGTCAATCAACGTTCTGTATAGATCACATTCACTTGCATATAAATGTAGTCATACATTACTCAGCAGTCTAGGACAATCTATATAAAAAGTTCATTTTAGATGTATTATCTCTAAATCTGCAAGAGCGACTGAACAACATTTCTTATCCCCTCTAGCACCGACTTAAGTGTCATTTTATGTATTTAAAAATCAATGTATTTTAGAATCATTATCATGTAGAAAAAGACAAATGTACACAAATAAGCTATAGGTTGAAATACTGGACTACTGAATCATTGCTTTAAAATCAACAATGGACACATTTGTCATGAATATTTCAGTTATTAATAGCAACAATTTTGATACACTCATAAAATACCTTTTAAAATGCTTATAAAGTTGTAAATGATTTAATATGAACATAGATATGATGAACAATAATAGTTTGTTCTAGAACAATTTATAGATAAATACTAAATAGATCTAGACCATTTAAAAGTACGGCATATCGACACTTGGAATTCGTACACTTACTAAAAACATTCATACATAATTGTCGTATAGCTGGTTGCACAGGCTAATTAGTCATACATGCTATATTCAAAAAGAATGATAAGTCAACATGTATATACATATATTAGGGTTTTTATTTCTTAATGTGCACTATGGAACATGACATGATTTATGAGTATTATAGTGCAGGATGCATACGGACTGACCTTATGTCAGGATGATTAATATATGTAACTCTAAAACTTGTGTATTTATATACATTATAAAATGTCCTTAGGACAGGTTGATATTATATATACTATTCTCAAATGTCAGAGTGGCAGTTCGACTTTGGTATTCCACTCGTTCACTTGTGTGTTTGTATTTGTATATTAAAAGTATGTAACATCCGTGAGTTCTTTCTCCGTTATACGACAACGGTTGATTTGGCGCCTAAGACCAGCGATGTCGAAGCGACGATTTTGGACAGCGGGACACAACGAAGTACCTGAAACAGAAAATTAAAGGTGAGTGATCGTTTATATACCTGTAATTTGCTAATTTTGAAGATGTCAGATCAAGAAATGGCTACAATTTTTGAAAATTTGTCAGATAAATTGAACAATATTTCAACTGTCATAGGTACACAGGGTTTATCAGAAATAGTACAAAATTTTGATGGAAATTCTAAATATTTTAATGACTGGATAAAATCTATAGAAAAATATGCTGTTTTAAAAGGTTTGGATGATAATAAAATAAAATTAGTCGCATTTCAATCAAGTAAAGGGACTGTAAGCGATTTTATATGTAGATATTTGCGTGATAATCATCGTAATTCGTGGAAACAATTAAAAGAAGAAATAAGTACTAGATTTGGGGAAATTAAAGATTTACATCATGAATTTTATCTTTTGAGAAATTTAAAACAAAATTTGGGAGAAAGTGTCCAAATTTTTGGGGAAAAATTTATCAATTGTGCTGAAACCGCTTATGAAAATTATAAACTAGGAGATAATAGTTTAATTGAACTTCAGTTAGTAGAATTGTTTACGGATAATTTAGCGCATAATTATTTAAAACTTAAACTTATGAGAGAAAAGCCAAAAACTTTACAAGAAGCAATTACGTGCGCAATGAATGAACAGAATTTCAGAGCTAGATTTTCTGCCAGAGTAAAATTTTCTAATTCTCAAAATCACACAAAATACAATAATTACAGAGCAAATAATTCAAATCATTATTATACAAGAAATTTTTGCGTGTACTGTAAGGGACCAGGTCACCATGTGCGTAGTTGTAGATTTAGGAAAAATGAAATATATTCTGTATTTCACCGACAAAATTTTTCACGATTTAGGAAAAATAATAGCAATAATAGTTTGAAATCAAAGATTAAGTGTTGGAATGTAATAATTTTGGTCATATTATGCGTGAATGTCGTAAACGAAATTTTTACGACAGAAACAAAATAAATTTTCAGGAAAACTAGCAAGTTCCTGTCACAAAGGGGTCATTGACAGGAACGATAAATACCAAAATTTAGTATAGCATTAGCTGGAAGCCCTAATTCGTGTTTGATTAAAATAGAAAACTATAAATACAGATCGTTAGTAGATTCAGGTGCTGAAGTTTGTCTTCTGCATCGCAGAATATATAGAAAATTGAAGAATCCCCCTCAACTTATAAAACAGAAAATAAATTTATGTTCAGTTGACGGAAATTATTTACATATAGATGGTTATATAAATCTAAATTTTCAAATAGGGAAAACAGAAACAACTCAAAAATTCTATGTTGTTTCTAAAATGAATAGAAATATTATTTTAGGCCGTGATTGGTTAACACAAAATGGCGTTAGATTATATTTTGATTTAGGCTGCTTAAGAGTTAATAATACATATGTACCCTCGAAGAAGATATTCATATTGCATCAATTGTTAGATTAAAACAGGATGTTATTCTGAAACCTCAAACAGTTAATGTGTGCACTGCTAAATTAAAACAAAATCCAGGCTTGGAAAATGATAAATTATATGAATTAAAAGTATAGAAACTGGAATTATTGCTTCTGAACCAGGTCTTATGATAACAAATTCTGTTATGAAACTTTCGGCTGATAGAAGATTTCCTATTATGATTGTCAATAATACACATAAAACTATAAGATTGAAACGAGATTCAGTAGTTGCTAAAGTTTCAGAAGTTGAGAGCATTAACTCGGTCACAGAGGCTCTTCAAACAACTTCCCTCTTAACAACGATTTCGAACATGATATTCATACACCTTCAGAGCATTTTCATATTGTTAGAGACTTATTAAGGAAAAATAGAAATATTTTCGCAAATAAAGATTCTGAATTATCACAGACAGATACTGTAACCATGAAAATACCAACAGGTAATCATCCTCCAATCAAATTAAGCCCATATCGCACACCTTTAAACAATAGAAAATTTATGAGTGACACAATCGATGAGATGTTAGATGCTAATATTATAAGAAGAAGTCATAGCCCTTATTCATTTCCTGTTGTTATTGTCGGAAACGTGACGGCAGTAAACAGTTTTGTGTTGATTTTAGACAATCGAATAAAATTACAAAGCCAAACATCATATCCTCTCCCATTAATTGACGATATTTTAACACTACTAGGGTCTTCAAAAATATTTTACAACACTAGACATGCGATCAGGGTTTTGCAAATACCCGTGCATGAATCAGACAAGGAAAAAACGGCTTTTACGACATTCCGAGGCTTGTTCGAGTTCAACGTAACACCTTTTGGCCTAGTTTCTGCCCCTGGAGTTTTCCAAGAACTCATGTCACATGTCTTACAAGGTTTAGAGGCATTTGCTGTCAGTTATCTTGACGACATTCTAATATTTTCGAAGTCATTAAATGAACATTATTCACATATACAGACAGTATTTTTCAAAGCTTAAAGAGCATAAATTAAAACTTAAACTGAAAAAGTGCAGTTTTATTCAGCAACAAACAAAGTACCTTGGTTTTATAATTGATCATGAAGGTATAAAACCAGACCAGAAAAAGTAAAAGCTATTAGGTCACTTCCGGTACCAAAATGTGTTAAAGATGTCAGATCTTTACTTGGTGCTGCTGGTTTTTATAGAAGATTTTGCCCTAAATATTCTAAAATTGTTGAACCTCTAATCAATCTTACAAGAAAACGTGTTTTGTTTAAATGGACAAAAGAATGTCAAGAAAGTTTGAACAATTAAAGAAAATGTTAACACGTATTCCACTTTTAGCATTCCAGACCCAAATAAGCCTTATATTCTATACACGGACTCCTCAGATTTAGTGGTCGGAGCATGTTTAAGTCAGAAATGTGACAAATCTGGTATTGAAAAACCTATATACTTCTTATCTCATAAATTAAGTGAATCTCAAAGAAAATACAGTACCATAGAAAAAGAAGCATTCAGTATTCATTATGCGTTACAAAAATTAGATGTTTATTTACATAATGCAGAGTTTACTACATTTACAGACCATAAACCTTTAAAATATCTTTTAGAAGCACCTATGCAAACAAAAGAATTCAGCTTTGGGCTTTAAATATTTCTGCCTATAACTGTAAAATTGAATATTTGCCAGGAAAATTAAATTTAATTGCCGATTTTTTCCTAGACCTCCAGCTGATGATGAAAATGCTAACAAGTCCGATATTGAACTTTATGAGCCTGATATAAATGACAATGCCTTCGAAATAACAGTCTCAAATTCAAGTAATAATTCAAATAATGATAATACACATGCTGTGAAAACTGATGAAAAGCTATGAAGTAAATGCTTTTGATTCTACGCACTTTAATACCAAAGAAATAGCAAACAAAGAATACCAATTTCAAGAGCCAATTGTAGAAGATATTAAACAATTCGAAAAATTAAATATGGCCTCAGAGCAAGATAAAGATCAAACTATTCTTGAACTGAAAATGTTACTACGTCACGGACAGCCAACTAAATCAGTGCAGAGCAAATATTTAGAAATTGACAAAGTTCTTTATTATCTGTCTAATGTAGATGATAATCCTAATCTTAGATTGTTTGTTCCGCAACACTTAAAACACCTTGTCATTAATCAAATATCATTTAAATAATGGCACCCAGGAACACAGAGGTTATTTACAACAATAAAACAAAAATATTTTTGGCCAAATATGTTCAAAGAATTGTATGAATATGTTTCTAAATGTGTTGATTGTCAGTCACGTAATCTTACAAAAATAAAAGCACCTATGGGCGAAACAAGAGTACCAATGTATTCATTCCAGACCATGAGTATCGACGTTATTGGGCCCTATGAAAAAACAATGAGTGGTAACCGCTACATTATTTGTTTTATTGACCTTTACAGTGGTTATCCCGAGTGTTTTCCTACTGCTGACAAAAGTACTGATACAATTATACATTTACTATTAGAAGAAATTTACCCTAGATACGCATGTCCATTACAAATTGTCACTGACAATGGATTAGAATTCTGGAAACAAAGTGATCCCTCGGAAGCATTAATCACAACAAAATAACATAAGAATTGCAGACTCGGTTTGATTGAGTCTGTACATGAGTGATAATGAATAAGTGCAACATCACTCACGCCCCCTAGCACCGGCTTGAGCGGTACTCAATTCTCAACACTTTATAGTGTTGGCATCAATGATCCCGAAGGACCAGAAAATATAACAACACTGAAGTGAAGTACGGGGCAACTTGTTACGGCTGCCACACGGCACTTGACACCTGCTGTTGTGAAGTACAAAATTCTGGAAACAAAGTGATCCCTCGGAAGCATTAATCACAACAAAATAACATAAGAATTGCAGACTCGGTTTGATTGAGTCTGTACATGAGTGATAATGAATAAGTGCAACATCACTCACGCCCCCTAGCACCCGGCTTGAGCGGTACTCAATTCTCAACACTTTATAGTGTTGGCATCAATGATCCCGAAGGACCAGAAAAATATAACAACACTGAAGTGAAGTACGGGGCAACTTTTTACGGCTGCCACACGGCACTTGACACCTGCTGTTGTGAAGTACAAAATTCTGGAAACAAAGTGATCCCTCGGAAGCATTAATCACAACAAAATAACATAAGAATTGCAGACTCGGTTTGATTGAGTCTGTACATGAGTGATAATGAATAAGTGCAACATCACTCACGCCCCCTAGCACCGGCTTGAGCGGTACTCAATTCTCAACACTTTATAGTGTTGGCATCAATGATCCCGAAGGACCAGAAAATATAACAACACTGAAGTGAAGTACGGGGCAACTTTTTACGGCTGCCACACGGCACTTGACACCTGCTGTTGTGAAGTACAAAATTCTGGAAACAAAGTGATCCCTCGGAAGCATTAACCACAACAAAATAACATAAGAATTGCAGACTCGGTTTGATTGAGTCTGTACATGAGTGATAATGAATAAGTGCAACATGCTTTCAAAGAAACACTTAAAGAGTTAAAAATTGATCACGTGCGTACAACTACTTATCATGCTGCCGGAAACGCGAAAAATGAACGTTCTCACCATGTCATACATGATATCTTAGCTAAAAGAATCCAGGGAAATCTCAAACAATGGGATATTCATCTTAACATGACACTAGCCGCACTTAGATTCAATGTCTCTAGGACTTCGAAGCATAGTCCATTTTATTTGTTATATAACCGTGATGCAATTCTCCCGGTGGACCTGTTGCTACAACCAAGGCAGCGCTATCATGGCGAAGAGTATCACACAATTGCATTACAAGAACAACATAATACTTTTCTATCTGTTTATAAGAACCTTAAAAAAGCAAAACGAGAACAAGCTAGCTATGCAGATAAGATCGCAAAAGATATCAAATTTGAAATAGGCGATCCCGTATTTTATAAGAATTTTCGTAAGAGAAGCAAACTAGATGTGAATTGGAAGCCATTTTATAGAATTATGGAGAAAAGGTCACCATTAACTTATATAATAAAAAATCAATTTGACAATTCAACAGTTAAAGTCCATGCAGAACAAATTAGGCTTGCAAATATTAATGACTGGTCAATACCAAAAGCAGATAATACAGGCAGACCAAAAAGAAATGCCACATTTGTAGTTACACCTGAAAATAGCGATACTGATGATGCTTCAGAAATACCAGAATCAGTATTACCCCAAGTTGCTAAGAATGTAAGAAAAGAAAGGTCAAATTCTGATAGTGAAGATGATATTCCATTAGCTGAATTACAGAAACATCTTCGACAACAACAACAAATTTCAAATAATGAAAATGCTCAAAGTAATGCACATTCAGACGAAATGCAATCGCAGACTGATTCAGAATTATCAGACTCAAATTCCATACAAGTAAATAGCAATCCTCAGTCACAAGCAGCATATAATGCTATTCAGTCAGATTCAATGGCTGATGATAATGATTCCGATAATGAGATGTTTATAAACTCTGTTTCTACTAAAAAGAAAAGTATTGTAAAACCTCGATATAAAGTATCTGGTAAGGTAAACACAAAGTTACAAAGTAAAGATAAAGGGTCGAAATCAAGTTTTAAAATGATTTTACAAGGATTAGCTGAATTGTTATAGAACGTTATATTCCGTGTTTTATGCTATACTTATTTTCGGTAAATTGACCTCAGGCATTGTAAATAGTAATTATGGAAAGAAGAAAATATATATGTTAAAAGAAAACAATATAAAACAAAACAGAAAATTACATTATTTAACCATATATCTTTATATTTTTGGTGGTTGTATTCATTTATATTAATTTTCAAGTTCTTTTTATTAGAACTATATATCTTAGATTTTTTTTATTATTGCTTGAAATGATCGTTATTCGCTATATGTTTATTAATATATCGGTTAATTAAAATGCATTTCAAAGTAAATGACAGCACTTAATCATGAGTTTCAAATTGATTATTTACTTTATTTCATATTAGAATAACACGTGTATACATACATGTTTCAACTGTCAACGCACAATCATTTAATAAAGTTTAAATTGGGATAAGTCTTATTGTCGAAATAAAACTAAAGTTAATAGCTTAGTTAAAAAAGTAACAAAATATGTCTAGAAAAGTAAAAAATTTTAAATATCAAGTATTACATAAATAAGATACTTACACTAGAGAACATCTTTCATTGGAATTCTTATCCTATGCATTTTATGACAGTTGTCTTGTTGTTCAAATATCTGAAAAAACAAAATTATGTTTATTGTATATAATATCTATTAACCGATCTGACAACGGACGAAAATGCAAAATATTGGTCTAACGATCACTTGTCGTCCAGTCAAGACAGAGAGGTGCGAGCGAATTCGCCGGTACAGTAAAACACCGCCTGACTAGAAATATTACAGTCAGCCTCTACGATGTCAAACTATGTACATAAAACCATAAACACCTTCTTCGATGTAAAACCATGCAGATATAACCATAAACACCTTCTTCGATGTAAAACCATGCAGATATAACCATAAACACCTTCTTCGATGTAAAACCATGCAGATATAACCATAAACACCATCTTCGATGTACAACCATGCAGATATAACCATAAACACCTTCTTCGATGTAAAACCATGCAGATATAACCATAAACACCTTCTTCGATGTAAAATTATATGAAATAAGCGTCTACGATGTTTAAAATATATAACTATGCTGACACAGCCGTCAACAACAACAACAACAACAACAACAAAATTGTGGAATCAAATAAACTTTTGTTCCTGTCTTCAACCAGAGAAGCCGAAAACTTCCGTTTATCAATAGAATGTGTTTTTCTATGTGTTATATAAACTTAAAAACAAAAACCCAGAGAAATACTGATGACAACTTCTTATCAAAATAATTATTTGTGCGCGACAGAGATATCCAAAATAAATATCACATAAACATTTGCGAGAATCGTGCAACAGTAAACTATTAATTTAATTATCTTATTACTCAAAAACATTGCTACATAAATGAAGAATTATAGATCTATCATCACTTTGTTGTATTGTTCAATACAAGACATTCTTTTTACAACGACGAAACAAGAACAGCGTTTACAGATGTGCCAATAAATATTCGAATATAACTTTATCAACTTGTGTATAAAGTCTACGTTTACACAAATACATATATATTAATTTAAAAGAATCTTCAAGAACATCAAACATTTATGAACAATTATGAGTGTCAATTTAAAATTATTCTTTAGAAAGCTACATACCAACGATTTGAAATTCCCGACACGTCACGAAGACCAAGCCATACTGATGTCAGCAAGTACCTGTTACAAAAAATATACGTGTCACAGGAAGTGTTCAATGCGCATGCACAATACACGTTTTACAGGAAATGAAACACCTGGACATTTTATCAATTATCAATTGTTTATAATATTTTTTTAAACTTTTTCGTATATAAATATCTTTTTTACTCTTATCATACATATAATTCTGTTAAATTTTATACCTTAAAGTTTTTCTAATTAATATTCTTAAAATAATTTGTTCTTTGAAAATTGTTAACTTATTTGTTTGTTTTTTATGTTTTCTTGATCTCTAGAAATTAACTTTTTTTATTTTTTTATGATGAAATAAAGGAAATTTAATATTTATTGAAAAACTTATAAAGCTATAATATTTACCTCATGTTACTTTAACATATTATTTTTGTATTTTTTTGCATAAAGATTAATCGAACATTTAACAATAATTATTATTTTACTTATTCAAAACTTTTAAAACTAATATCAAAAGTAAACTTACCTGTGCTACATTGTATCTATCCAAATTTCTCTATTAAAATGAATTTTTCTTTTAAAATAAAGTGACCAAAGGTTGATGTATAACATCCTTACCTTAGGGGTAAAACAGATGTCAAGTTGATTTTAGATTTTTTTTAATTTGTTAGAACGAGTTTGAAATATTTGATATTTAATACCTTGTTTAATACTTTTTTTTTAATTTTTTTTTATATAAGTAAAGGAGGAATTGTCGTATAGCTGGTTGCACAGGCTAATTAGTCATACATGCTATATTCAAAAAGAATGACAAGTCAACATGTATATACATATATTAGGGTTTTTATTTCTTAATGTGCACTATGGAACATGACATGATTTATGAGTATTATAGTGCAGGATGCATACGGACTGACCTTATGTCAGGATGATTAATATATGTAACTCTAAAACGTGTGTATTTATATACATTATAAAATGTCCTTAGGACAGGTTGATATTATATATACTATTCTCAAATGTCAGAGTGGGAGTTCGACTTTGGTATTCCACTCGTTCACTTGTGTGTTTGTATTTGTATATTAAAAGTATGTAACATCCGTGAGTTCTTTCTCCGTTATACGACATAATGTCTTCGGTGTTAGTTATCAACTTTGAATTTTTGAGCAAACATATTTTAAGTATCATTTGAAATATAATTCCAGCTTTATTTATGTGTTTTTATATACACACATCAGTTAATTCTTTTTTTTTCATTTTTGACAAAACCTTTTTCAGAATATCATTGTATATTTCTAGATTTATGTTCATTATCTAAGAAACTATTATTTGCTTCTATTATACAGAAGAAAGAAGTTTATATTTCATGTAAATTTTCCCCTATATAGATTAAATAAGTATCGTTTTTCTCATTAATAAAGTTGTTTCTTTGAGGAATAATTTCGATTTGATTGGATTTTCGCTGTAGACAAAGTATCATGTTAATGATGAATGAAATAGAATAATATCGCATTTCCCCACTGTTACAAAAATGTACTTTGTCGTCTAAAGTTAAATAACACTATGGGAGGTATCGTTCAATCGTTTCTTTTTCAAATTTATTTTGTTTAAATGATCTGCAAGACAAATATGAATAACTATCAGTTTTAGTATTTTTTCCGCTTTTTGAAATCAGCAATCGTGAAAAATTAAGGTTAAAAATTGATATTTGTTTTTTTTTCTTACATGGTATAATGTTGTAACAGCATAACTAATTGAATATTTCATCCCCATTAAAACGGATATTCATTTTGTACTCAGTTCTGATAACATATGATAAACAAGATCAACAAAGAAAGGCGGCGTTCAATGAACGCAACCCCCACACGACCGAGCAACAAGAACCAGTGGCAAGGAGCCCAGACGGACCCCAAACAAAAAAGGACAGGGCACAAGGCAGAGCACATGATAAATACTAAAATAATCAGCTCCAGTCGTGGCATTTGATATGTAAATTGAATATGCACTTTATTAGTTATAAGCATGTTATCAAACAACTTTTATAAATGCGGTTAACTTTCATTTATCAAAGCATATAACTTTTTTATTTTTAATTTCTTTTTACTTATTTCAATTGAAAATAATACTTTGATTTTGATTAAATAAGATAAAATTGTGACTTTAAGGATCTTAAACAAATTACAAAAAGCGAATTATCACTTTCAAAAAAGCACACTTATCAAAATCAAAATCAAAATAGCGCTTATTTGAAGAAAAGAAATACCACCGACACAATTAATGTTTTGGTTGCTTATTGGTTAAGACGAATACCTTTTAACACAATAAACGTTGAAACGAGCTAACCTGTAGTCACGACCACGTTTCCTCATAAGACAAAAGTATTGTACTGGTTTGTTTAAGGTAGCGATTTAAGTGGATTAAAGAAATTACAAATTATCGCACCAAAAATATATTTGTAACAAAATTAACTTGCGTTACGTACATTTTCTTTTAGTCAATCTTGACATGCGGAGGTGTCATAACAACATTTAATCTTTCTTAAATAGATTAGACACAATTTGATAGTTGTGGTTTTATATTACTAGCTTGAAACACACAGTGAAATTTCAGTTTTAATCAAGTTGTTTTCTGAAATTGAAAATTTGATGCATATACTTCCTATGGAAAAATTATGGAAAAATGCTGAAGACAAAAGCCATATGGCATTCTGGTTTATGTGCAAAAACCTTCATTTATTTATGGACATGTCCAATAAATATTACTAGTACTTCGTTATTTACTTAAAATCTTCAATTATTCAAGCACCTGCTTAAGGAACGAACATTTACTTTCCAAACATCTTTCTAATGTACTATTGACGAACAGCGCAAGTCGACGGAATATACATATCAGTTTCTTTTAAAGGTTCTTATTTTCATACTCATCAAACCATGAATAAAATTAAAATTCAACCACAGATGTCATAAAACAATCATCCTACCGACAGTATTTGATCACATTATCGCAGAAATTTGTTTCATTTGGTCAAATGGAGATAAATGCAGTTTAAGGAAATTTGATTCACTGACACCGAAGTCATATCAAATAAAATGCGATATCTTACGCATTTAATCAAGAGACGATGTCTTTATAAAACCTTCAATACATACGAACAACTTACAAACAAATCGTCTGAAAATTCGTTTTTTTTCTTTCTTGGCTTTGCAAAAAGTTAAAGGAATTAGAAAAAATAACATCATTTGCATAATACACAAACATATGCTTCCCATTTTACTGTGAAATATCAATTTGTGCGTTTCTATATTAGATTATTGGTACCATATTTTGACTGTTGTTTTGATATATAATATCGTAACCATTTTATTGAACAATTTAAAAACACGATATCTTTAGATCCAGACATTCCGACTACAATGTCATAGTTCTGTATTGAGAAATGATCTAATCTTTACGAAATATTAGGTAATGTAGAAAATAACCACCCATTTAATATAGTTTTATTTTGTAAATTTTAAGAGAATACAATTTTTACATTTTATAATACGGATGCATTTATTAGATTAAAGTTTTGCGGAAGAAATTTACGACATCAGTCATTCAAACAAATCAAACGTTGATTTTATTTCAGATCCGAATTGACAGTTATTTAATTTGTAAACGTAAGATTATATCTATCATGTTATAAACAACTTTAAATTTAAGTGTAATTTGCTGTTATTGAAATGATATTTGCAAAAATATTGCAATCTAAAGCTGACAAAACATGATGAACATAAGAACATGAAAAAATATGTATAATATCAAACAATTCGTATAAACTATATTCAAAATAATGTCTTAAAAATTGTTTTTTCCTTTGCTTGGTTTTACGTCGCACCTGTACAGTAGAGGTATTATAGCGATTTTTCTCTAACATACTGCTTCAAAATTGATAAAACATACCCCCCAAAAAAGTTCTGGAATTTGACTGATTTGAGAATGTACTGAGATTGGATTTGCATTGATGACACGTAAATGTGTCTTATCCCAAGGGACCTTTTTGCATTTTTAAGCAATTCGACATGTTGTGACCAACTTTTAAACTTTTAAGCCTTGACCCTCCAAACATTGTAAAACAATGCTTTTCTAAAGACGAGCGAGGTCAGATTAACCACATTTTATTTATATATTATATGAAACTCTTTGCATAATAGGAGAATATTTCATTTCAAATCGCCTGACATTTTGATGTTTGAATTTAGTCTCTATGAAACAATTTCAAAATAATATAGACTAAATTTCTATTTTAACTTGATGCAAATTCCATGTAAGACTATATTTTTTCTTAATTTTGCGCTGTAAACATCCCCTGAAATTTCAATATCTTTATTTTAATTATAACTGTATTTACCAAATTTAATCAGAACTATAAAACTGAAATTAAACAAAACGTATACAGAACGCGTGGTTCATTAGTAAACGAACGTGATGCACACAATGATCAATGAGCATGAAACATAAAAATGGTGTATAACTATATCCTATAACCATTTACAGTCTACAAAATTTGAAGATGCTTACTTACAGAGGATAAAAAATGTTTAAATCTAAATTCACGACTGTAATTTATTCTTTTAACATAGCCCGATTATCATCTCAATATACTTCTAATAGAAAGTAACACTTGACACATTAATTTGATTTGCATTTTATTTTAAATTTAAAGGATGGCATTTAATTTCTTGTTTTTAGTCTAATCCGAGATTCATGTATCAACTATTTTATTGAATAGTATTTTTAACGATTTGATAGCTGTTGAATGCAGTAACTAAGATGAATTTGTTACGATTTGTTAATGACTATTGATGTAATTATAGAGAAGTACATCAAAAGCATGTATAAAGACATATGATTGTCAGACAATTAGTCAATTTCTGGAACAAAATGGCTTACAATTAAAACGTTAATTTTAATATGGCGTACATAAATACATTTGAATACTTCTTAAGTGCAGTAATTATTACAGAGGAAAATGAGCCAAATGGACATCTTCAAGTCTAAATAATTATACGTAAAGATAAGATATTTTAATTCGGCTATAATATAATGATCCTGCTCAAAATTATTATATATTTTTATTATAAAAATATGATGAAATAAAACGTTAAATGAAATACATGTAATATTTATTCCCTGCTATAGTTGCCAGTAGAGAAGTATAATGCAATCCTAAACATGTTTTATTAAAAGGACAATATCCATGAATAAACACATATAGATTATGATGTAGATATGAAAATATATATGTTTGTGTTTAAGGAAGGGGAAATGTAAGAGTGGAGAAAATGACGATATTTGCAAAATAGTGAAAAAAGAGTAAGAATCCCTAAAGAACGTCCAAAACAAGATTGAAAATGTAACAGACTCGGCTTGATTGAGTCTGTTCATGAACGGTACTGTAAGTGCAAATTACCGTCCACGCCCCTAGCACCGGCTTAAGCAGAATTAA